TATATATATATATATATATATATATATATATATATATATATATATAATGACAAATTTGTGAATACCAAACTTAGAATGTCACATCAAAATAATTAATTTTAAATAGGGATAACTAAATACCATATCATTCGTCAATCATAAACTTTAAACTTTTGTTTGATCTCAAATAGGATACAAAGTTGTATAGCCTACTAAAAGACATAATCAATAGTAGTGAAAGCGACAATAGATCCGACATCATACATAATTCAGAGCATCTATTCTAATGATGCGAGAGTTTATAACCTACTAACGATATAGATCAAACCCTAATTCTTTTTTAACCAAATAAGAGAAAGGTCCAAAAGAAATATGTTATAATTATATCTAAAAAATAACTAGTTAATAAAAATATAAAATAATTTTTTTACATATAAATATGAATTTATGTGAGTTAAATAATAAATGATCTAATATGTCATTCATTCATTCGATATCCTTAATATCTATATTCTTTCTCTGTTCTAAGGATCGAATTTCATATCGCTTTTTAGAGGTTTAATTTTTTTATCAAAAGAATCCTCATTAGATATATTAAAAATCATGAATATGAGATGGATCATATTTTCGTAAGTAATTTTTATTTTAATTGTTGAAAGTGATCTACCAATTAAAAAATAGATAAATATGTATAATTGTTTTTATCCTAAGATAAAATTATATGTAAATTGAAGAATAAATATTTTCAAGATAAATATTATGAAAAGTACACTTGTTAATATGCTACTGGTTCCAAATAGTTAGGAACGTCTATGATTATTTTTATTATAGATTTATCCTAACGGATAATGAAGCATTGCATAGATATGATGTGCGGGGTTTGTATTATAGATTTTTATATCATTAAATCAACATTTCATACGTGTCGAGCTTGTATTTCAAGATTTTGTGTAACCAAATCATCACTGACTTGAATAGCATCAGGGCTTGAAATCATTATTGTTAGATTATTGTGGTCCTTTATAATTGGATAAGATATATAATATAACCGAATAGATGATATCAAAAGATACGCATCGTTAAACGAGATTTATGTATTTGATTTTAATCCTGACATAAAGATTATTTTCGTATTTTAATATAATATATTACAGATTTTATGCTTACAGTCGTGCCATCGAAACAGTATGTCAGACTTATATTTTGGAATTTTGTATCATCGAATCAGCATCTCATGTGTCGGACTTATATTTTAAGATTTTATATTACTGAATCATCACTGACTTGAAATCATACGTGTCGTGCCATCGAATCAACACTGACTCGGATAATGTAACATTGCAAAGATGTGATACGTCGGACTTATATTTTGGGACTTATACGTGTCAAGATTGAATTTTAAGATTTTGTATCGTAGTGTAGCGTCGGGGAAAGATGATATGTCGGACTTGTATTTTAGGATTTTTATATCATATGTGTCGGACTTATATTTTAAGATTTTATATTACTAAATCATCACTGACTTGAAATCATACGTGTCGTGTCATCAAATCAGCACTGACTCGGATAATATCGTCATACCTATATTTTGGGATTTTGTATCACCAAATCAGCATCTCATACGTGTCGAGCTTGAATTGTAAGATTTTGTATCATCGAATCAGTATTGTAGCGTCGGAGAGAGCTGAGATGCCGGACTTGTATTTTGGGATTTTTATATCATTAAATCAGAAATCATACTGACATGAAATCATACGTGTTGTTGTATTATCGAATCAGCACTGACTCGAAGGCATACGTGTCTTGTGCTAAGAAGCGTTTCAGCTTGAGACTCCCCTTCCGCCTTGTGGATTCACTCCCCGTCTTTGACAACGGGTGGGTTTCACTGCTCCCAAACCAGAAGGCGGCAGCGAGAAGAAGAAGACGATAGGATTCCGCGTGTCGCCTCCTCTTAATCCCTAACCCCCGAGGAAAAGGACAGGACATACCGCTCCTTCCCGAAACCAAAATAGGGAAAGGGCAGAAATCCTGCGTTTATCGGACGGCAGGAGAATCGGAAACCGACATTTAGCCTTCACCTCCGAAACAGAGCGCCATCCTCTGTTTCCTCCACGTACGCACCGCGATACTGTCTCCCGCCACTCTTGTTTTGTCTCCCTGCATTGCAAATCGCAAGCGCATGCCTATCTCCTTCGCCTCCACTGTTCTTTCGCGCTCGACCCACTCTGCCCCAACACGTCCTACGGAAGAGAATTTGGACGGACTTGCACAGAACTGACGTAGTCGAAGGACAGAGAAGTCAATACAGTCGCAATGGAGGCACACTAGTGGTAGGATGTATGATATGCATCTCGGCGACCATCGTGTGGAATAGTGGTCTTTGATTAGATTTTGATTATTATTATTTATCAGTAAAAAAAAATAATTATGATAAGATATTTTAGATATCCTGTTAATAAAAGAAACTCTCTTAATTATTTATCTTATCTAATTCTCCGTTGATATTAAAATTTTTATTTAATAATAATAATATATTATTATTATTATTTTTATACTTATAATACGTATTAGTAAAAAGTATTTTCATGGAAAAAAAAAATCTTGTAGTTCGGAAGAGCTTGCTTGCTGTGTTTGTCGTGTATGAACCATTTATTGATTTGCTCGTACCTCGGTGGGACTGAGAAAACCTGGTAAGAGATGGTGACAGTTTAGGGCAGGTAGGTCGTGGCAACGTTAGAAAGAGGGAAGAGGGAGGTGTGAGATTGTTTTTTCACTAAAATACAAATTTATTTAAGATAAGTCTAGAGAAGATATTTATTTAAGATACAAATTGTGGGGAATTTGGTAGATTTTTGAGCCACTTCATGCTGCGGTAACTTTCGTTGCAAGTGTTGGGAGATGACTCGCCGTTCTAACCGGGGAAAGTATCTTTTTTTTGGTAGGACACTGATCAGATAATACATCTCTCTTATGAATTCCCCTTCAGAAGCTACCAAAATCTTCATCATGGCGTCGTCGGCTTCCTTCACAAATGTCCTAACCCAATGAAGCTGCCCGTCCACAGTATCGCCTCAACTGACTCGAAGCTGCGTCCTGTACGTACCCCGTAACTCAATTCCCTCCTCGCTTCTCCCCCCTTCCCTCACAGTACATAGTCAATACGGCGCACTGTTACCTCCTGGTTCAACACTAGAAAGGATGGAACTTTCTGGATCCCCCATTCTCAACTGTTCTACGTCCATTACAACCAGACTCAACACTCTGTCGCCGCCTCCTCCTTGCATGTCCTTCCAAGAGAAGATAACAAACGTCCCCCTCTCTCTTTTCCCCAAAAACCCAAACTTTAATATAACAGCAGGGTTTTAGGGCGGGAGTATGAGTGAAGCAAGCAGGAGGGAGAGCTCTTTTGTCTTCTGTTCCTTCTCTCTCTCTCTCTCTCTCTCTCTCTCTCTCTATATATATATATATATATATATATATATATATATATATATATATATATATAGCTCTTCACTCGGAGTTTAGATTTCATCCCTCCCTTTCTCTCGACATGAATCGCATGGTTCCGGACTTCCAGCACGGCAACGAGCCCCACGCCTCCTCCGCCGCCGCCAATCCCCGCCGTAAAGCATTCACCTGGTGGGTCCTTCATATTCTCCTCTTAAGGTTTATTATAATGAAACGAGAAAGAAGGAATTAATTCTATTGTAAGATTGATATGTTAAAAAGGGAAAATATTTTTTTAAGCCACGAAGACGAATTGATGGAGTTAATCTGGCAAACCGGCTTGATGACCCATCCGGTAGATCGCTCCGCAGCGGAGGTGGCCTTTTTTGGCTCCTCAAGCGCCGTTGGCGGTGGTTGGGCGGACGCGGCCAGCCGACTGTTCATGGAGGATGACGAAATGGCTTCGTGGCTGAACTGCCAGATCGGGAACGCGGAGAGCGGAGGCGGCGACCTCGAAGCGATGATGGCGAATCAGGAGATGACGGTGGTGACGCCGGGCGAGACTCCTGTGGCGGGGTCGACGGCGATGGGGTCGAGCGAGACTCCGGAAACCGTCGTGATCGTGGAAGACGACCAGCCACGGGGGTCCGCGTCGTCGTCGGGGACGGCGGAGCGCAAGCGGAAGAAGGTGAGTGCGGCGCGGGAGGAAGAGACGGACCGCCAGGTTGAGCAGGTCAGCTCACCGCCTCCTCTTTCGTTTTGTTCTTTTTCTGCTTCTTCCTGATCGTAAGTTGGAGAACTTTCGTTGGCAATTGATTTGGCGGTAAGCGTACGGTGGGTCGTTGGACGTAACAGAACCGTCTGTTTGAACGTACCATTGGCGGCCATGACCCATTAGGCTCACACGGATTCGTTTGCTATAGACTTAAAATTGCACGCATATACACATGCGAGTTATTTGATTTTAGTACCTGTAGTTAAATTGGTCGTATATATGTGATTTTCTAGTTGATTATTTATTACTTCCTCTAAGAAGTTTCTTTAGAGTATTATAATTTTAGATGTTTATATTTTTGTTTTTAACTTAATTATTTATCAGTAATGGTTGGTTTGTGTTTCTTGGATGAATATAAATCTCCACTTAATATTTGAAGTCATGTGTGTTGTGCTTAATTTCTGGGGCAAGAATGTTATTTACTAAAAGCATAGACATGTAGAAGATTAGCTATGCTTTCTTACAGCATAGACATAAAAGGTTTTCGATCAACTGTGTTTAGGTGTGGGGGTTTTTGTGGATGTTCATACGACCACTAGGAATTCTGGATGTTCATACAAAAAAATTTTGTTATTTAGCCTTGATTGACAAATACTTTCCATTTGCTTGCTCCACATCATCTCGATTTAATTTTGCTATACTTCAAAGTTTTATCATCTTTCCATGAAAAAGCAATAAGCAAACGTTTTATGATGTCCAAATGCGTATCTTCAAGCCAGTTTACTCTTCTCCTCCCTATGACCTTTAACTGGGCTATTGAGCTGCCATTCATATGTCATGTTATTTTATTAAATGAAAGGGTGATGAATTTAAATCCGGTGAAAGAAGGAAAGACCGCCCTACACGATACAGACCAGTGAGAAAGCTACGTGCCGCAGAGATCCACAATCTCTCTGAGAGGGTGCTCATCTAAACCAGTTGTTTTCATTTGCTTTGCCCACATGAATGCATGAATTTTGACCAATTTCTAGGTTATACAGTATGTTAGTCATATGAGTTGTAAGTGCAGAGGCGTCGGGATAGGATCAATGCGAAGATGAAGGCTTTGCAGGAACTCATACCCAGATGCAACAAGGTCCTAACCTTATAGCTTTAATGTACTCTGAAAAATTCACGCAGTCCTCACTTTAAAAGTCCTTTTGCTTTCTCTTTGATTTCAGTCAGACAAAGCTTCGACGTTAGATGAGGCCATTGAATATATGAAATCTCTTCAACTCCAAGTCCAGGTATAACTTGAGCATGAAATAATTGACTGGTAACTAGAAAAGCCTCTTTTGGTTAGGAAAGCCTCAAGGAAGCCAGGAGAAACTGTGTCCTACTGGGGCATCCACAATATGCTGCCTGCAAGTATTTTTTTATATGCATGATGATGAATAATCTCATAGTTTGTCGTCATGTGGTTGATCAGTTCAGATTCGTCTGCTCTCTCTTGAGCATCAGAGCTTCACGTTACATGTTTTTTTTTCTAGTCTCTTGTTGTGATGGTGATTACGACTGCAAATTAATAAAGAGATTAGGAGAAACTGAATGATCTTATACTACGGTGATCTTGTTGTTATATCTCGCGCGTATTCATCGACTGAATAACATTTTGCAATCTCCCTGTTGAATCTTATATTATAGTTTTAGCTTGATCATCCTGGTATATGCAAGTTGGGATTTTGGAAAGGCATGCTGGATCATATTGCTACTAATTGCCGAGGATAATTTGACCACATTAGATATCTAAAACTTGTTCAAGCTCAGCTTTGTATAAGAAGCAAGATTATCATGCTGGGAACCTAAATTTATGGCCATCTACTACACTGGTTTTTTGCAATGACTTTTATCTGGGAAAAGTATGCTCTGGATATATCACTGTAGTATCCTGCTTCTCAGTTGTTGCACTGCAATAGATCTCTTGGTGGAATAGGTGTTACTTGATTTCTTCTTCATTAAGCCGCATTTACCAATGCCATTTTCGATTGTTTACTGATTAATAATTATTTTCTTAGACTTTCGTGAAGATTTATTCAAGCATGGAATAGGTCTCCTAATGTTAAGTAAATCAGGTTCCAGATCACCCAGTGTGTTTGTCTTCCTTCTCATTTATCATATGTTAGTGTACTTGTGAGTTTGACATGTCCACTGCCACTGATATGGAACCGCAAACAATATCTTTCTATTCAGGCTTGGGTTTTTGCTACCATGTTGAAGTATGTCGCCCTTTGCTCTAAACATGATGCTATCTGACTGGGGTTTTTATGGTCTGGAACCACTGCAGATGATGTCCATGGGCTGCAACCCTGGCGCTGTGATGTTTCCGGGCGTTCAAACATACATGCCCCCCATGGGAATGGGCATGCACATGGGACTGGGCATGGGGATGGGCATGGGGATGGGTCTGGGGATGAGAATGGGAACTGACATGGCTGGTGGCAATATACCCCGTCCAATACTGCCATTTGGACCCATCCCTTGCCCGCCAGTTACTGCACATCCACCAGTTCAGTTCGGCCCAAGACCAACATGCACAACACCATTAATGCCATCGTTCCATCCATCGCCTGCTATGCCAATTGCTGATCAAGCCAGATTCGAAGCTATCAATCAGCAAAATCATCTGTCCGATACACTTAACATACGAAGCCCAAATATGGGTCAAATGCCACATGTTGCTGATCCTTTTCATCATTTTCTTAACCTTCAATGCCCTCTAGTGCAATCCCAGGTAACTATCTTTGTCCGTCTTTCATTATATCAACATCCATTTTCGTAGATTCTACATGCTAGTATGGAGGATTACCAATATGTATAAAAAGTATGATATATTTGTTATCAAATTTCTATCAGAAAATTACTGTGTATCACTTGCAATTTGCAGAGTCAAGTGCCGGATGAAGCTGGAACCAGCAACAGGAATGGGAACGTCGATGGCAACAATGGGTATGCTGTACCTTCTGAATGATGAGTAACTTTTTTCTTATTTCTCATCAATCGCTTAAATTGGCAGACTGCAGAACTTGTTAAAGATTTTGTGCTTGAGAATATAGGCTGCATATATGCTGTGGTCTTTTTGTTATAGGTGAACACAGCAATTTGTTCGTATTTGTTGAACATGTTTTGGCCATGATATGAATATATGCATTCATATGCCTGTTTTTAGGTATCCTCTTCCATCAGTCTATGTGTAGTACTCAAAGTTTTAGCTCGAATCCATTAATGAGTCAGCATACATTGATGTCATATTGATCAAGACTACAAAGTATCTTGCATAAATGAGAATTGTTCATTGAGGTGACACTAGGCTTTAAAGACTGCTTTGGATGATAATTTCTTCTTTATCTGTCGTCTTAGCATGGTATTCACAGATGTTCCTATATTTCAGGCTGACTGGTTGAATCAAAACCCCCTAGAACTTCATGGAAGTCGAAATCTGCTAAGTAGTCTTCTTGGACGATTAGTCCAAGAGGACTCCGCGATGCAGGCTACTCGGATGGGTTGCCTATCAAGTTTTGTAGAATATGGATGTACTAAGATCTCTATCTTTATTTATCCTTCTGGACATGAAAGCTACTTCTCGAGAGATCATAGCGGAGTACGTTTGCTGCGTCGTTGTGTGTTTGATCGCATGTAACAAAACGAGTGTGTTCACTGTTATGTTGGAGACTTATGTTAGATGAATCTGCACCGAGTTACTTGAAACATCAATCTGAATGGTTTTACTTGATTGAGATGTGCCAGGAAATTTGGAACTTGATCTACTATGGGCAATACTTTTGTGAGGTGTTCTACCGTTGGTGGTGGCTTCTCTTCAAAGAGGATATGTGATGAATTACTCCAAACATGAGGTTTTAGGTAAATTGTCACCACGCATAAACAAAGCTAACAGATTTGTTTACTGGATCTGTTACTCTTTTTTTTTTTAGTCTCTTATTATTTTATTTTAGTATTGCGTAATTGAGTAGTTTTCTTCCGAATTTGATAAAATTTTAATTATTTTCTGTAACAAAATCAAATTATTTATTCAAGAAAAGAATCGCTTCGAGAAATACAATTTTAGGCGACCGGTTGTCGTTTAGTCGCGCGAATGGCGACGTGGGCGGGTCAATGGGACCCACGTTGCTCACCAATCGCCTCGAGAGAGGACGAGGCGTTGCCACTTCTTCGAAGCAACGAATCGTCGGCTCCCGCCCTCGCGTCTTAACCAAGCTGGCAGAGAACTCCGAGTTCCTCGGCTTTCTGGGAAAATTCTAGGGTTCTTGTTCGCGATCTTTCCTGCGAAGAGAGAGGAGAGAGGAGAGAGAAGAGAGGAAGAGACGCGTCCCCTGCTTTGGACGGAGCTGCCTTGATCTTTCCTGCATACTCTCGTCGGCCCCTCCATCTTGACCTACTCCAAATGGGTCCTGAATAGTTGCCGCCGCCACTGGCAGCTCGGCCTCGATCTCCCCTTCCTTGCCGCTCTCTGGTAATCCAAAGGCTCCCTTCTCTTGTTTGCCGTTTCGAGCTAATCAAAGCGGACGTTCCGAGGAGAGATTAGAGGCGTCGTCTAATTTTGATGTTGAGATTCTCATGATGACTTTGTGTGTGTGTTCGAGGTAGGAAAGAATAGCGATTTGGTGCGTCGATTGCCTTCACGTCGCTGCAGAGGCAGTGGATGGCTGCTGCCTCTGTTTCGTGTTCGTTATTTTTTTCTGAAGAAGCTCATGCATAGGTCCATCGATGGCTTGAATGCTTCTTGAACATGTTCTATTCAGCATCGTTACCTTTTGTGTTATATTGTTCGATTTAGTTAAGCCAGATTCAAGATTATTTTGGTAGAACCACCGGAGGAGGCAAAATTTAGCAACCTAATCACATAGCAACCACCAATTAAGTCCTTTCTGGGAAGCTTTATGGTTGTTCTACCTTTGAGGCACTATACCATGAGTTTAAATCTTGATACTGGACCCATAGTCATCCTTGGTCAGACTGACATGGATCCAATATATACAGCATACTGACACATGGTGTACCAATATGTCAATTGATTTTGAGAAGGTGGGAGGATAAGGAGAGGGGTGAAGTAAGAGGAAGAGGAGATAAAAGAGGAGGAGAGGAGATGGAAGTGGAGGAGCAGGAGAAATACCAAAGATGATGAGGCAGCAGGCGACACAAGACAACAGGTGGAACGACGCAGATGGAATCGGGGGGAGAGAGAGAGGAATTAAAGGACTTGAAGAACTATCACTATCAAAACTCAAAAATAACATTAAATTAATTTCGAGCTGGACCAAACAAAATTGCCCAATCTGAATGTCGGTTCTTGATTGGACCAGTAAATACTAGTCAGCTTTGATCAGTCCAACTAGTTCTTAAAACCATACCTATAACACATACTAGCCTCCTTGTAGCTTTTGAGTAATTCACAATTACTCATGCAAAGTATTCAATCTTACAACTACTAGATTGTTCATTGGAAGCAATTATCTTTATCCACAAACATGTAAAGTTATTTGCATTATTCAAGCATTCTAGTCAAGTTATCCTCATATCTGACTATGCCATTCCACTTAACAGATGTTTATATCTTATATTTAGTGTTTGCTTGCCTTCCCCCCAGCTAGTGTCTGAGAACACTTATTTTATTTTGTGCCAAAAGTTTGTTTTGTAGCTTTCCTTGTTATATAAGTATTCTGTTTTCAGGGAAAAGAAATAGTTACCAGCTTGGGATAGACTAAATACCTTGTAAATATACTAAGGAAGCCAACAATGATTATCAACATCTAGGGAAACATGACAGTTGAAAACTATAACCATCTGCCTTCCACTCTCGAAGTTCATTTTTATCTGACCTGCCTTATAATGGTGTGGAAAACCTGGATGCACAAAATACTTTTGCCCAATTGGAGAACAGGATCGAATGTCCTTTTCTCTGCTATAGCCTATTGTGTCTTGAAACAATGTAAAAACAAAATCTTCCTTGCAAATGTCCTCATTGTGTTGATTAGACATCTTTGACATCAAACCATTGAATTTTTTTTGAAAATTTTCTTTAATACTCTTGTCATCACAAGCTATCAGCTTTAGTAGGTAACCTCCTAAATAAGGTCATTAGTGGTGACAAGAGTAAACATAGCCACATTGCCACCTTCATTAGCATTGTGTATGGACTATGGACAATTAGAATGTTGTTTGGGGTAAATCTTCCTTCTTGATTTCATAACTCAAAACATAGGAGCTAACAAAAAATGACTAAGAAAACTGTGTGGAGAATTAGCGGTCATTTTACCTTTCACCTTTATATGGTCTTTCATGGCCTTTCTTGTTGATGAGTGCAATTTTCAAACAAAGCTCCGGCAATTATCTTGATGTGTTTGTTCTAGATGGACTTTTTTTTAGCACAATAATAATTATCCATGCTCATGAGCAACTTTACATTCACCCTGTTATTGTGTTTGTCCTAGAGGTTGGGTCTTGGTACGATGGCAAGGATGTTCTTTTGCAACTGGGAGAGCAGTGTTCCTGTCACGGAACCCCCTCTCTCTAAGTGGCTGCATATATTAATCCTCCCTAAAGCCTGCATTGACGAGAGTCTTGTGCATTGGGTATGTCCATGAGCAACTATACATGTTACTTAGATAAACTACAAAATGCAATATGAACCGCCATGCCTATTGTACTAAAAGCTGCTCTAGTATGGTAAGAACACTATTAAATATGTCATTGTTTTGTATGACTTTCTGTATGTCCCTATATCCAAGTGCACTTATTTTAGTTGACATGGATATATCTTGAATGATTTGTTGCTAGTCTGATTGCTATTTAGAAAAGCACCTTGTACATATTCCAAGTTGTTGCCCAATCCCATTTTGACTTATGGCCAGTTCATACAAACTAATGCATAACTACTTATGCTTGATAGTTGGGTTGATTTGATTTTCTTAATAATCTTGTGTTTATTTGTTGATTACATTGTCCTGGTAGGTTTGTATAAAACCATCCGGATTCATTTTAAATACCATTTATGTTAAAAAAAACCAGCGAAGTTTTAGTTTTAGATGAAAATACTTTTTGAAATATGGATGTGTTTCTACTATCCACAATAAAAGTATAACCTTTTCTCTTATACGTGGTAAAATTCTTTAATCGTATATTTCATATGAAATGTTGGTATTGGATCATGTAGTTAAGATATTGACTATGATATTCTTAAAAAAATATCTGAATTCTGTCTGAATTTTTTTTTGTATTATCCTTTTTTGTTTTATGTACAGGCACTTCCACTTTTGTTGGTAGCCATGGTTGACAACAAAGGTCCTCACTGATGTTTGTTCTAGGATGAGACAAAAGGTACGTTGTCACTTTATCTTGATTTGTTTATTTTTCTTCAATTTGTTTGGTTCGTTAAATGTTTGCCTCATCTATTAAGCTTTCACTGCATTGGAAACTTCTTCTGTGGCCTTCACTAATCGTAACTATTAGAGAGTCTAGTGTTAAGATCTACTTTATATGTCTCAGGGCTTATAGTATCACATGATTCTAGCAATCTACTTGATTTAATTTCTTCCCCTCCCTTTATGGGTTATCTGATCGTGACCATAATTAAATAATTCCTCAATTCATCTGCATCACCAAAATAAAGACATATATCAAAATAAAACACCACATCCTATAATAGCAATCAGCATAAAGTGGGAGACCTCCCACATAAGAAGCCCTATAAATGCTTGCACCCAATAGTCAAAACATGTGTTAGTCAGAGTTGTTGCAAAAGAAGACCTGGCTTCAATTCTATCCTACTAACATAAAGTTCTTTTCTTGAACCTTCCTGCTCAATGATGCCAGCACCTGCTCCCTTATCGAACTGACTGGGACTTGATCCATCTTCTAGCAGGGGTTGGGTCCACAAATGGACCACTGAGAGAGGCATCTCCAAAACGTGGTAGCACCTCAAAAATTCTTTTTGATGTAAATCAGAAAGTTGTAGTCCAACTTATTTTAAGTTTTTTTTACCTTTAACCTTCAATTTTAGTGGTCATCTAAAGATGTGAATGCAACACTTCCATTGCTTGTTAGTTTCTGTCATTCTCCAAATGAATAAATCAAAATCATCAGCTACTCAAGGAGGTACGTTGTCTCATGTCAATTTATCAGTAGGATCATTAAAGTGTTTGTGAAAATAACATCTTTAATGCTCTGAATTATGATAATAACCTACATTTTAATCTTTGCAATCCACTATAAGTTCAATGTGATGTTCGTAGGATATATAGGGAACTTAAAGATTACATGTGTCTCAGATATAAAATTTCGTTGGAGCACTATCATTCTTCAAGTCTTGTGGTTTAGATCTCCTTCAGCAAGAAATCTATGCTGCCAGCTTATTAGCATAATCCTGCAGCATTCTTTGTGCTGAGAGGCACTTTAGTGTTGCTGAGTATTCTCGGGCTCTGCCTTAGGATGTCGATTTTTCTATCCTTTTTTGTTACCACCTTTCGCATTACCGCTGTGTGATCTCAGTGTTTCCACTGTCCTCCTCCCTGTCTCCCAACTCCTGCCGAAGACGTACTATCATGCCTTCTTGACCTCCCCAAGCAAATCTCTCCCCTGCAAAGGCCACATTAACAGCCTTTGCTAATCGCAAATTGATTACCAGTTCAAATAATTGCAAGAAATACATGAATGTTTGAGTAAATGGTAGGAAAAAATTGTGGAATTTGTTGTCACAAGTTTAGGAAAATACACATGTATTTGCTGAAATAGTCTCAATGCCTATTATCATTGCTAAAAATAGATTTTCCTTGGAAGATCTGGATGAAGTTCTTGGAAAAGAAATCATGTATGTTGACAAGCTAAAGAGTAGCTAAAAGTAATAGTTCCAGATGACTTGCATGATCAGAACAAAGTTTAGCCAAATGGCTTTGATCAATTATTGAATAAATAAATGAAATAGAGTTACTATTGTGTTATCTCTGGTAGTATCTCTTTCATGGTGTCATGAGAATTATAGATATGGCGTAGGAATTAAATTAGTGAAACGGACAAAGGAAGAGGAGGTGATTGACAAGAATGGTGAATTCTCATGGGTTCTTCAACTTGCACAAACGAGTGCGTGTGCAAGATTTAATCAACCGTGGAATCCTTACTTGATTTAATCGTAGAGAGAAATATGTCAGAACGTTAGTGACTTGTACCTCCCCGAGTCCTTTGTATAAGATCATCAAGCTCAGCCTTGCTGCTCGCAAGCCCAACCTGTCGGTTTTTGTTCATCTCATGCGACGCTTGCTGATTACACCACCCATCATCACTTGATGAGAGTGCTTTCTCTCATAGGATTCCTATATGCTCGTGGCAATCGATGGTGCAGGGTGGAGCTATACGGGGGCTAATTCCAGGTTATCCATCCATGAAGTTAAATTTCTTCAGTATCCCAGTTCATATATTTAAAAAAATTATATTAGAAAATCAATAGTTATAAAAGTAGAATATTTAACTTTATTTATCCTAATGTCATCAAATTTATCGACGAAAGATAAAGCACATGTAGAAATGATATAAAGATGATGGGAAAAAAATAATTTTTATTATGTTCTAATTAAATTTTTTTAGTTGATCGTCACGGTGGTAAGCAATGAAAACCACGTGATGGTCGATCTTGTCATTGTCGATCCAAACATCAGCGACCAAGGCAAGGGCGATAACGGTTTGATGATGGATCTTGGGGATGTTCTTAGAGATGGGTGGGATGGCGTCCTAAAGGTGGAGCTTAAGGGACTTCTGTAAGGACTAGCAACGACGAGAAGTGAGACAAAGGGAGAGAAGGAAAAGGATAAGGATGATAGTGTTGCGGGAGATAGCATCAACGCAGCAATGATCCTCATCCTCTTCTATGACACTATCATCCTTGTCCTCTTCCTCCCTTGGCCATGCCGAGATGCCTGATTCCTTCCCTCACCTCGTCCCTATCCTCTCCCATAGTCACTATCGTTGTGGAGGAGAGGAAGAAGAAGAGGGACATGGGGAAGAGAAAGGAAAAGGAGGAGGTAGAGTCCTCGTCCTCTTCCTTCCTTAGTTGTGTCCTCATCCTCTTCTGTGACACTTTTGTTGTTGTTGTTTTTTCCTTTCTTTTTGCCTCACCTTTATTCGTCGCCCTCAAGCTCCACCTCCAAGATTCCACCCCACCTATCTCCAAGGACATCCCCGAGATCCACCACTACCATCATCAAACTGTCGTTGTTGTCATTGTCGTTGCCTCCACATCAATCGTCGATTTTCGGATTTATTCTTGTTGACCATCACCACAATACCCACCCGTAGCCCCCAATGGAGTCATTGTCAACTTAATGTTAAAATTATCTTTTTATTTATCATTTTTATATCATTCTTATACATGCTATCATGTATTATATCATTGATAAAATTAATAAATAATTAAATAAATAAAATTAAATATTTCATTTTTATAATTAAAACTGATTAATATAAATGATGCGAAAACCTGGTTTAAGAGGTAAGAAAGAATATTTTAAGTGAAGCTAATTCTTCAGAAATGACAACAGAAAACACCCGTCTAAAACAACAATTTGGTTTATAATGCTTTGATTCAATTCTTTTTTAAAAAAATATAAATCATAAATAATCGGCTTGATTTTATTATTTTAAAATTTTAAACAAAGAGATCCTATCCTCCCCATGAGACGGTATCATCAAAACGGCCCGCTCAGGTTCTAATAGCATTTCATGGTACTTCATATCCAAAAACAAAACACTCCAAATTTGCACTAAGTCCACTTTAATCCAAATCATAAATAGGCTGTGCTGCAGAAGCCCATTAAATAAACAGACTGATTGCAGTGCTTAAGCTCTCAAAGTCTGGTGAACTACCAAAACAATCCAACGATGCTTAAAACAAGGTAAAACAAGAGGAGGCCACTGATATGCTCAACCTATCCTCCTCTCCTACTTGAAAAGATTAGGGCGGGAAGCCTTGTAGGTAGTCTTCAACTTTCTGGAAGGGGGCCTGACTTTCTTGAAGACGAGAGGGAACTTGATTTTTGAGTCATGGAATTGCTTGGTGCTTTCACGCTTACACAGCTTGGAAGGTATGGTGGCTGTCTTGATGATCTGGATGCAGTGCTGCCTGACTCTGTGGCGGGATGCCATCTCATTGTACATCTGCTCCACGGCACCGTTCAGAGTGGTGTCCCTGTACTCCTTGTACATGTTGTGGTAACCTGTTCTGCTCTGGTACCGCAGCCAGACACCGTAGTTCTTGATCTTTGTTGGTTTCCTCTCAAATATCTGAAACAGCATAAAATTAGCTCCAGCACAACATTGCATCATTAGTAGGCAATGCTGTCTTAAGCAGAAACTTTTGGCCGCCTAAGGTTGCCTAGGGAGCTATATTTCACATCAAATGGCTGATCAAGGACCCACGTGAAAGTCTAGGCAGCACAGTTAGCATCTACAAGAAGTAACTACGAGCTTGTAAAGACGAAACATAATCATGTAGGACCTTGGTGACATCAATATAAAAAAACAAACTGCATGGCCGCAACAGATTAGTTAGACTGGGGTGTATGCAATCTCCTCACATCTAATGATGCCCAAAATCATCACCAGACACAGAAAATATGAGATTGAATAGAACATTAGTATAGCTTCAAGGGAACGAATCGAATGAGCAAAATGAGACCCATCGACCAGATTAAGAAGCATTAAACCAAAAAATTGGAAACAATAAATATTTCAGTTCTAGGAAAAAAGTCATAGAAAAGATCTAGAGTAAATCAAGACCCAACTAAGAAGCATCAACCCAAAAAATTGAAAATAATATAAAAATCAGTTTTGGAAAAAAATAGCAGAAAAGACCTAGAAGGAGGCAAGATCAGACTTTGTAACATCAATATATAAAAACAAAATGTATCCCCGCAACCGTTCAATTAAGAGTGAGGTGTCTTCAATCTCCCAAGATCTAAAGATGCCCAAACATCTCCAGATGCACAGTAATACAATATGAGAGTTTAAATACGAATAGAACATTACTATAGCTTCAAGGGAACAAATTGAATGGGCAAAATGAGACTCATCAAGCAGATTAATAAGCATCAACCCCAAAAAAAAATTTATATATTTCCAGTACTAGAAGAAATAATAGAAAAGATATAGAAGTAAAACCAAGACCACATCAAGAAGCATTAACCTAGAAAAAATGGGGGAAAAAAAAGTCAGACAGAAAACAGTGGGAAAAAAATCTAGAAGGAAACAGAGATCAGACAACAAAATGCATCCCCATAACCGATCAGTTAGAATGAGGTGTATTCAATCTTGCCACATCTAGAGATGCCCAAATCAACTCCAGATGCATAGATATATAATACAAGATTGAATAGAACATTACTATAGCTTCAAGGGAACGAATCGAATGGGCAAAATGAGGAGACCCATCGACCAGATAAAGAAGCATCAACCCAGAAAAATGGAAACAATAATAAACATTCAGCACTAGAAAAAATAATAGAAAAGACCTGGAAGTAAATAATAATCAAATTTAAGAAACATTAACCACAAAAATTGATAATAATAAAAAACATTCAGTCCTAGAGGAAAAGTTAAAACAACCTAGAAGAAAACCAAAAGCCAAAAACATTGTTCAAAAGAAATGTGCATTTTTTATCCAAACATCCTATTTATTCTAAAACTAACAAAATAATAAAAAGCTTACAAAATGAGAGATTAAAAGGTTAATTGTCAGCATTAATGGCACACTATTGATTGCACAGGTGATGATGCTTCCCAAAAAAATTCTGCTTACCATTTATTAACCAACTAGAACGACAATCTATAGATTACAACGTCTCCAATCCAATAGAAACTAGTATACCACCAGCACATGGAAATCAACTTCTTCCTAGAAAGAAGTGGTGCTTAATTCGAGATATGGTGGTTATCCATCCAATGTGTCAGTGCTTAACTAGTATACCACTGAGGACTCCTCTCTAAGGGGTTGTAAACTATTGTGATAAAATGCAAAAGCAATCCCTCCCGTCTATTTCATTTTTAAGTTAATAGAAGTAATCAACCAAAATTCAGGTACTAACCCATTTTTTTCTCATTGCCTGTC